TGCCACCACAAGCCAAATACCACTTAGTTGGTTATTTTTCCCCCTCTAATAATTCTTGAAGCAATCTGATTTCCCAACTGAAACATGAAGCGAATGACTCCTTTATTGCTCAGATTTAGAACATAATAAATAAAATGATTTTTTTTAAAATCGTCAGGCCTTAAGATATGAAGGGAAAATTTTAAAAGCATCCTTGCCTGGGGTCCATCAAGACTGGCAAAAGAATTGTGTCAACCTTCCTTGCTAACTCGTTAACACACACACACACACACACACACACACACACACACACACACACACACAGAAAGCGTATCTCCGACCCCAATCAAAACATCAATTTGGTAATCTAGCCTTCCTCCCCCTTAGCCCAGGAGCAGCCACTTCAAAGTCTATGCAACAAGCCAGTAATTGTAACATTGCATCTAAATATTTAAGATAGAGGCTTGTTAGTCGCGTGTCCAGTTTACAGTCGTCATCTGTCCTCTAATTCCATTACAACACAAAGTAAAAATGTTTCCCAAAACTCACAAACAGGAAAAGCGTCACCCTGGCAGGAGGAGGAGGAGGAGGAGGAGGAGGAGGAGGAGGAGGGGGAGGAGGTGGTGGTGGTGGTGGTGGTGGTGGTGGTGGTGGTGGAGGAGGAGGAGGAGGAGGAGAAGAAGGAGGAGAATGAGCAGTTTCTATTGACTGGTCACGGCTTTTGTGCTAAAGGCTTTCTTTAAAATAAAAAAAAAAATAGGGGGAGGTCGCAGAAATTTCACTAATGTCAGCCTGGGGCAAGAATAAGAGGGGAAAAGGGGGAGGGGGAGGGTTGAGTCTAGATGAAAGTGAGAAGTACATAAAGGAGGGAATTGAGTCGGCTTCGGCCGGTAGAGTTAGCAGAGAGTAGCTCCGAGAAAGAGAGGGGGCCGAAGGCGCAGCGGCCCTTTGACGCAGTGCGCATGACTGGGGGCACTGGTCCATTGTGACTGCGCCTAAAGGCCAATTCCGCTGCGCTGGGGAACAGAGGGGCCCATTGAGATCAGGGCCGTCGATGTCACCCTGGGCCGCTGCGGCGGCGGCAGCCAGCGTCTCATCTCTCCATCTCCGGGATCCAGTGGCCAAGCTTCTTGCTTCGGCCCTAGTTGGCTAAAGGGGGGTCCTGGCTTATCCATCTTTAGCCAGGGCAGCCCAGGCAGCTGGGCTCCAGAAGGGAAAAAAGTCGTGGTTCCCTTTGCTACCTCCTTTCCCTCCTCTTCCCCGCCCCCCCCCATGCTTTGCCCCAGTCCCGGTGAGCCAGAATAAAGAAGGCGAGAGAAGCGCAGTGGGCCGGTGAGCTCAGCTGAGCTCGAGCCGAGCGTGAGCGACCTTCTGGTACTGCATCCCAGCTCTCATCGGGCTGGGGTCTGCCTGCTGCTGGAGCAAGGGAGAGATTTAAGAAATGAAGGCGACGGGAAGAAGTGGACTCCTGAAGTCATGACACCTTTTAGCCCACCTAACGTCTCTCCCTTCCATTCTTAGATCCAATTGTGGCTCAAAAATGAGACATAGGATCTCGACTTGGTCTTGCTCCAGAGCCAGGCTTGAAAAAGAGCAGGATAATAGACAGATAATAGCAGAAAATAGACTCAAAAGTAGTGGAGAATGAAAGCAGGAATAAATCCTAACTAACACTGAAGATACAGGATTGAGGAAGGTAGCCTCAAGCGAAGTATCTCCCTCCGATGACTGTCAGGTCATCCAGACTACCTTAAAGACATTTACTGTTTTCCGGTTGGGCCAAGCCCATTGCCCTGAACTCCCCCCTTCTCTCGTTCTACTTTGGTGTCCAAATACTGAAGAGAAAGTGTTGGGGTTCTTCTTGAACCTACACCCTGTTTTGTTGCTATTCCAGTCTTTGCCGAGACATCTCCAATCATTTCCTCTTGGGCTAGGGAGGGGAAAGGAGGGGTTGACTAAAGATTCAGCTTCCCTGACAACCCCAAATTAAATTAGGCTTTGGAGTCTGAGGTGTGTGTTTGCCTGTAACAATGGGGCGGGTTTTTGTTTTCTTTTTCTATCCTTATTCTGGAGGGCTACTCTGGTTTTAAAGGATGGCCATAGTTTCTCTTGAATGGCAGCCGGCATAGCTAGACGAGTAGAAAGACTAGAAACATTTTGTAGGTGAAAATAGCCACTTTTTCCACGGTGGAGAGTCCATAAAACTTCTTGGAGCAGCAGCTATTGGGGCTCATTGAATAATTCATCCCTCATTGCAAGCCCATAATGTCTATTCTCGGCCTTTTGTGGAGCTGTTTTCTCTTCTTTTCTCCTTGAATTATAAAAAGGTTGCCTTCTTTTGTTCACATCAAGCTGCTGCTAGCTGAAGCTTTGTCTGGGCAAAGCTAAAGTGTGAGTTTCAATGGACTCTACCCTCTTTGTTTTCCAAGTTCATCTCCAAGTGTAGATTGTGTATAGAAGGCCTTCTTTGTAAAAGCTGGAAAAGTTGTACAAATGTTTGACCAGCTCATTTGGTACTTTTTGTCTCCTCTCCTTCCACTGACTATGTGCAGAGAAGGGAATTCTAGAATGCTAGGGGGCTGCCAGTAACAAGTAAGGACCAAAGCACTGGACACTGAGAAGCTTCTCTCCTCCTTTCCCCTACCTTCCCTCCTGCTTCTCTCCTCCACCTATCCTCTCCTCTCCTCTCCTTTCTCTCTTCTCTGATGCCTCTGTTCTCTTCACCTCTCCCTTCCTCTTTCCTCCTCTCCTCTCCCTCCCTCTCCCCTTTTCTCTTCTTCCTCTCTCCTTTTCTCAGTTTCCTCTCTCTCCCCTTTTTTCCCCCTTTCCTCTCCTCTTCTGTCTTCTCACTAACTGAACTACAAAAACTTCAAAATTCTCCCCCTCAAACTAAAGATAATTGCTCTTTTGGGTTTTGTTTTCTTTGCTCCCCCTCTCCCCCCCTCCCCACTGCATGGCAGCAATAAAACTTGGGAGACAGGTAACATAGGATTTGCAAATGGAGCATATTTAAGGCTGATCACCAATTTTACCTTAGCAGGAAACAGCAAAAACATATCTTTGTCTCTCAGCCTAAGGTTTAATTTAATTTACTCTTTGATTATTTTTTATAGCAATTCCTGAGCATCTAGCTTCTCCATTTATTCCAGATATTGGCTCTGATTTGTAGTCAATCTAAATGTACTTTAGTTTGCTTTTGAAAATAAAAATTCCATTAGTTCAAGTGGAGGTTGGACTGAAAGGAAATGGTGCCTGACAAGGAACTAGAAAAAGACAGAAAGAGATACTTTAAGCTTCCATGTGATAAGTATCACCCTGAAAGAGTGATCTGAATGAGAGGTTGAAACCCCAGCTTTTTCAAGCAGGATCACAGAAAACTAACTGGGTATTGGTGACTCTAATCAAGTGTAGGGATAACACAAACTACTGAAAATGAGTCTCTTTCCTCAAAGTTTCATCAGTGAAGGTCACCCCAGTCCATACCTCCCAGTCTAACTTGTAAACTGAGGAAAAACCAAGTGACAGGCAGGCAAATGAGAACTCCAAGTAATACAAACATTCCTTTCCACCATTCAACTCTCTTGTAAGTAAACTCTCTTGTGGAAAAGGAAGAAGGGGGGGGGATAATATCTTGGGTGATGGACTCATTACTGGAAAGTGTTCTGACAAATCTTAAGCCAAAAGTAACAAAATCTACTTGTTCACCTAACTCCACCCACTGTGAAGAGCCCTTTTCCTCCCCCCCAATTTTAATGTGATTAATTTTCTTTTTCTTATTGTATTAGTAGCTTTAGACAAACGAATATTTTAAAAGTCACTATTAGGTAAAGTTACAATATTTAGGCACATCTGGAAAAGTTACTCCTCCCCTTTATTTTTGCAAAAAATACAAGTAATAGCAAGATTAGGCTTTTTTCCCCCATTTGTTTTCTACTTCTACATATCATGTGCAACATAATGAACCCTGCTATAGAACTAGAAATCAAAAGATGTGGGAGAGATGAAAAATATGTACCACATTTACACACAACACACTCTATGTGTAACTACATAAAAACTGAACTAGTGAAATACGAGAATTTAAATCTCAATAAATCTATGAGATGTATGTATCTAAAATTCAGTTGGGTTTATGCTGTTCTTTACTCCTTTAGAGACACTTTTTTAAAAAATGATTTCTTCTCATTCTTCCCTTGCCTTTCTTTCTTCCTGGTAGTGAATCCTCTTCAAAACTGCTTCTGTCTCTGTCTGTCTGTCTCTCTCTCTGTCTCTCCCTCTCTGTCTCTCTCTCTCTGCCTCTGTCTCTCTCTGCCTCTGTCTCTCTCCGTCTCTCTCTCTCTCTCTCTCTCTCTCTCTCTCTCTCTCTCTCTCTCTCTGTCTCTCCCTCTCCCTCTCTCTCTCTCTCTCTCTCTTCCCTCTCTCTCCTCATCTCCTTTCCTTCCCCGCCCCCCCATATCTATCTTTGAGCTAAAATTGTATTGAGATGTGAGACACGGCCCTCTTTGGTCTTACTTCAATATACAAAAATATCACAACAACTCTAGACTCACATGAATCTTTTTACTACTGGACGGCCAGGTACCCTAAAGCACCTCAAGAAAGATCTACCACAGCGAACTCCCCACTCTTTACCTCCGAAGTCAAGACAAGTAGAAAGACATAGATCCTCCAGATAGCAAACACCATATTCTCAACATCAGTGTCCTGATCATTTTCTGGACAATGAAATCCCATAAGAAGAGTGGGGAAGGCAGAAAGATAGAGGAGATGCTGGGGAGGGAAGAAAAGAAAGGGGGTCGCAGTACACCTTTCTCTTTTTCTTTTGAATTCACCAATACCTGTATTGTAGCAAATAATGACAAGTAATGTTTCTGTGACCTTCCCGCGAAAACCGCCTTGAAGTAGGCAAGTGAAGCAACTGAAGCAAAAAAGCGGGCAGGCAAACCGAAAACCATGAATCCCCAGTTTCCCAGCCTCCGAGTGCGGCCAGTTTTCAACAGCAAAGAAACTCGCTCCTTTACCTCTTTCGCTCAAGATCCCGTCAATGCTGTGTTTGGTCTTTCTTTCGTTCTCTTCCACTTCCTTCCTTTCAATTTCTGCATCTTCCTCCTCTCCTTTTCCAAACTTACTCCTCAGGATACGGCTGATGGAGCTCACTTGAAGAGGGGAAATGGAAAAGTTGGAACCCTGAATGGGTTGTTGCGAAAGGGAAACATCTCCCAAATGCTTCCCCAGACTATCTGAAAACAACCTTCAAAATCTCCCAGCCTCATCTCTTGAGACGTTCCTACCTCTCAATGAAATGTACACAAGCACCTGTCTCCCCCATCCCCAGAACCAATTTAGATAGAGTTTATTGCGACCCATGGAAACAGTGAAGCGCCAAGTTGAGGACGCCGAACTACATACACCCTGTTCTTTGACTTTTGGTAAGCATTTCCCTAAAGTGTCCAGGCCAAGGAACAACCTTCCAACCAGCGAGCTCTGTGGAGCAGAAAGTATTGAACTACCGCGCTCGTTTTCAGAGAGTACCACAAACAAATTCTGCACAGAAAGTAAACTTTTTTTTTTTTAGGGCATGAGGGGTTTCGATTTCAACTCCAGAAGTTTGCTATTGTAAAATCAAAAGAAAATGCATTCTCCTTCATTTATTTTTTCCAGATTCCAGTCTGGTAAACAAATCCATGCTCTGAAATATCTCTTCTCGCAGGGAGAAGAGGGAAAAGTAGTTTCTATTTAATTAAAAACAAACTCTCTCTTTCTCTCCTCCCCTCTGCTCCTCTTTCACCTCCTCCCCCAGTGGAGACTCTTCAGCTATGGGACGTTTGCTCTACATCTTTCTTCCTAGACATTGAAAAGTCTCCGGTGGCATGTCCCCTATTTCCTTTATGATGGGGTTACGAAAACATTTGTTTCTTTTTAAAACAGACCATCAATATTAATAAACACTTTGCCTCCCGGGTCTCTCTCCTCCTGTGCCTAGCCTACAGGCAGTCTATTTTGCGGCTGCTTAGTAACTTTTCCCTGCGGCTCCGAGAAGCAACTAGCCTTCACAAAATAAAGGTTATTAAGATCCAGGTTTTCTAAATATTTCCTGGCCCCGGGAGCCGGCTCCTTATTAGATATCCCCTCCCCATAGCCTTACCCAATTATCCTGTGCTAGGCGGTTTCTACTTGAGCCAGTAAACTAGGAGGAACAGGGAGGGAAAGCTGGACTTCGGGGAGATGTGAATGGCTCTCAGTACCTGAGGGAACGGTGTTTCGGTCACAGACCGCGTCTTTGAGCAGCTTATCTCGAATTTCCCAGCTGAACATGCCCGGATTCTCTCTTTTGTATTCCTCGATTTTCTTCTCAACGTCAGGAGTTGTCACCTGCTTTAATAGAGCAAACAGACCAGCCATAAAGTTGACACGGTTGGCCGCTGAAAGGGTCGAAGGAGTACTACTTCTAGAGCCTTCACAAATGGGTCTTCCAACTCTAGTCCCCATGATGGGCTCTAATTCCCTTGCAAAATTCTCTCTTAGCAGCAAAAACGACCAACTCACCGAGTATATTTTCCTAGAAAAGGAACTGAGAGAAAGGCAAAGAACGGTAAACCAAACTCCCAGAGCGTTGTCTGTTGGCTGTAAACTAGCGGTAATAATTCCAAGGGACTTCTGATCACGACCCATCTTTATTGCCGTTATATGGGGAGGGCGGAGGGCATCCCAGCTGAATCTGCGGGAACCCGAAACTAAATAACTAGGCCCTAGAGAGCTAGCCTAGGGAAATATTACTCCTAGAAGCTTCCGCCTCCTTAACTGACCGAGAAATAGTAAGCAAAGTGGCTACATGGTTGAGAAACTGTTTCCCTGATTTTTTAAAATGCTAATTGGTTTTAAAAATCAATGTATCATTGGAGGAAGTGGATTGCAGAATGTTTATTTTCCTCCAAATATCCCTAAATTCATCTTTTATTTTTTTTCCCTTGAATTTGCCTTATTTCTCCTCTTGGTTGTGTGTATTAGAAATTACCTAAATGTCACTGGACCTTGACTTCATCTTAGGAATAACAAATGAAGATACTCTATATCATCCCGCACACAAAAAAAAACTGTGCGAAAGTTTCGGTGAGAAGAAAAGGAAGGGTCTGGGGATTCCTTAAAGGAAAACCGGGAAAGTGCTCGAAAGTTGTTGAGGGGAGCTGCTTTTCAAGCTTTCATCTGCTTGTTTCAAAGTCACCTGGACTTTCTGTCCTTCCCCACCCTGGACAGTTTGAGTTTGTTGTGAGAATAGACTCCAACTGCCAGACACCATAAAGTGAAAGCAAGCTGGAGAAGGGGGGGGGGGGCGGCGAGGGATGGTACAGGAGAAGAGGTGGTGAGATGAAGAGTCAGAGAAAGGCCTCCAACAGGTAGGCCTACATAGCTAGCATAGTTTGGGGAGGGACGTATGTGTGTTTGAAAATAACTTGCATATTGAGTTCCCGGCCAAAGTCCAAACTCATTTTTTGTTTTAGGGGTAACGATGTTCTCTCAAGATTTAATCCAGTAGGTACGTGAGAGAAACAGCCTCCGATAGCACTGAGCATTTCTCTGGATATAGAAACATTTGCATTGAAAATCCCACAGAGGAAAAACTTCTTACCCGCCCCCCGCCCCCCATCCCCTACCCAACACCCAACTAAAGAGAACTAGGCCAAGATGGCAGCAAACTTTAGCTGGGCTAGAATTCTCACCTTGGGTTTACTGCCCCCGATGGCCCCCGGTCGAATGGAACCCGTCTCCTGATACCTGCACAGGATTTTGGAGACGCAGCCGTGAGACACTCGTAGCTGCCGAGAGATGACGCAGGGCCGGATGCCATGGTGGGCCATCTCCACTATCTTGTGACGGATGTGGTTGGGTAGTGGCCTGCCATTGATAAAAACGCCACCGAGCTGGTTGACTCTACCCTGTCCTAAAGGAGTGGACACTTAGAAAAAGAAAGGAGGGAAGGGAAAGTAGAAATGTTACTTAAAACGAGTTTTTAAAAAATAGACTCGGACACAAAAAAAGTCTAACAAATACAGCATCATAGGACCAGCATTTTACAACAACTAGAAGCTGGATAACAGTGTCAATATGTTTGCCTTCATAGCACCGCACTATTTTGATCCGAGACTTTCTCTTGTATGATTAAAATTCTGAAGAGAAGAGAAAACAAAACAAAAAACAAAACTTCAAAATGGCCTTATGTGAAGTTAGCATGAAAGGGTGTAAACTGCTTGTCAAAAAAACAAACTGCTTTTCTTCCAGTGGCTGGGGATTTGGGGGATTGGTGACTTTGAAAAGTTGGGAAAGAGTTTTAGAAAAGAGTTGCTGGATTTTTTTCCCCCAGATCAGTACTTCATAGAGAAGACACCCCACAAATGAAGGCAACTCACCGTTGCCTCTCCTCTAAGAAAATAAACCCTCCGTTTCAGCTGTTCCATTTACCAGGGGACTGGACTGTCTGACAGTCTTTAGGGGTTCTAGATAGTAACTGTACCACTGGAGGCTCAAAATAGCCCAGTGAAAGATCAAATTATCCTGTAGTTCCTCACCTGTTACACTTCTTTCTCTTCTCTTGGGAGATTTGAAATTTAAGAAACTCACAACGAATTAGAAGTGGCTTGGAAATGGCATATGAGGCTAGGAGACGAGTGTACTGTATATCTTATCATACCCTACCATATTATACTACCATTGCCTTATATTCTCTCCTTTTAGATTGTTACATTATATTATGTTGGTATATGATGTGAATGACACTTCCCTCAAAATTACACTACACTACACTTCTTGCAAGTCAAGTCTGATGGAAACTAACTCTTAAGAATATTTACCATAGTTCATCCCTAGTGTCTTTCCCAAAAATATTGGGCAGATCTGATCCTAAATGGATGTAAAATATTTGGAACTTAGGGTGAATTTAAAATGACCAGAACAACAGCTGAGATGGAGATGATGAAAACAAAACCATTGCCTTAGAATTACTAGTTTGACACAAGATGCTGAGAACGAGAAGACAGTCCTGACCCATTCCCAGGTAACCCATTCCTACTCATTTCAGAGCTTCAGACGTGCTGCCTGCCTTCGTGATCCAAGGGGGGTTTACTTAGTTTTGGAGTAAAGAATTCCCCAAACAACAAGAAGACAACAGCAACAACAACAACAATAATAAAAAGTGATTAGGAGAGGAGAGCAATTCATTCGAACCCATTTAAGTGTGTGTAGGCTAGGAGCAATCATCTGAATTTGCAAATCGAAAGACAAATTCCTACCTTTCTTACTTCCAGTACTGTTTAGTTCCAAGATTGGGTTTTGTTTGCTGAAAGAGAACGACGCAGAACTGAAAGCAAAACGTGCCGGAGGAAACACATGTAGGCTCGGAGAGCTTTGGAAAGTCTCCCTCTTAAGTTCCGAGGCGTCCAGCTTTAGGGTCGGGCCAGAAGAGGAAAGGGCCAAACTTACCTTCTAATGGGAATCCGCTGCGAGGGTAGTTTTGTCCGGGAGCTGGTCGCATCATTCTGGGGACAGCTCCAGCCAGAGTTGTCATTTTGGAGACAGCTTCACTTTAAAATTGTATCCAGGTGAAGGCTGAAAAAGGAGTATAGAGCAGCTCTGGCAATCTAGAGCTCCGCCGAAACAAGCAAGCCCCTCCCCCTAGGAAAAATAAAAATAAAGGAGGGAAGAAGGGAAGCTTCTCCCTCTCGTTTTGTCAGTAAGATGCGATCTTTTCCGATCGAAATGCAAAAAGAGAAAAGGTTGGGTGAGGGAACAAAAGAAAAACCAAACCCAAGACAACAAAGTTTTGTGCAAGTCTGGGGACGTAGCACAAGCCGGTGTGAGGCGACTTCGGCCACGGTGTAGGGATTGGCACACTTTGATAATGGAACGGGGGAGGGGGTATGGGGAGGGGGGAAGTGATGGTGGCAGGAATGATTTTCTTCCTGTTGTTGATACAGAGTGAAAGGAACTCTCCTCTGGAGTATTTATTAGTTCTTTCACCCAAAGCTCGATCAGGAGCCCTGAGCTGCGATTGGCCAACACGGAGACTGTCCCGTCTAGAGAATACACGAGCTGATTGGGTGAAATCCGTAACTTTCTCTTCTCATCATTAAAATTGAGGCCTCAGTAGAGAAGGGTGACCCAGTCCATTGCTTCTTCCCTTGATAAAATGTCCTTTCATAGGAAGAAGTGGACAGGAGAAAATGCAAAGAAGGGGAAAAGGACAATGTCTTGGAAAGCTAGCTGCTCAGGCAGAATCTCTCTCTCTCTCTCTCTCTCTCTCTCTCTCTCTCTCTCTCTCTCTCTCTCTCTCTCTCTCTCTCTCTCTCCTCTTTTGGCACCATGCCACTTGAGGGGAGCGATTACAATAAGGAGGCATCCACGACCCTCACAATTTCTTCAAGCCAGTTCCCCCTAGTCACCTTTTCTTTAGACTGAGATTGTAAACGTGCAGCTGTTTGTGTGATTCCCTGGTCAAAGTGTGGGACAAACCAAAGGAAAAGTTCAGTCTGTGTGCTGATAAAGTTCTTTTGTTTCCTCCGACTGGGGGTGGGAAGGAGGAGGCCGAGGGCAGTGGTGAAGTCCGAGGACGGGGGTGGGGGGAGCTAGGGGAAGGAGGAGGAGGAAGGAATGGAGATAAAACAGTCTCTTCTCTCTCTCTTTAAGCTAAAATCCGAGGAAAGGACAGACTCTAAATCTAGACTATAGATATAGAATCAGAGTGAAGAGATACATCTTATATGTTAAAGTTTTGCTCACGAGCATTTGTTCTCAGGAATTTATTGTAGTATTCAAACTAAACCGCGGGGGAAAAAGAAAAGGAGTTAAGTCTTGGCTAGGAGCTGAAGTGACCACAGCAGGATATGACGCCAGGAGTGTTGTAAAGACTGTCTGTCCTTAAAGAAGGTACTATTGTGCATGTCCTTTTATTTATAACTTGGTAAGTGCCAGCAAACTCGCCTCCTTTACACTCTGAAGTGCCAACCCCGCGCTCCACAGTGCGCTTTATTTGCAAAAGTCTATTCAGAAACTGTCACTCCGGAGCCTCAAGTTATTCAAGGCCTTAATCAATCAAAAGGATGAGAATCGTTCAGGTTTCCCCCTTTGAAATAAAGGAAACAATGAGTTCTGGGCTTAAACTTTTCCCTTTCCTTTTACGATTTTTGAATTTTTTCCTTTGCTCCATCCCCCCATCCCCACTTTCCCCCCTTCACCTCCTTTGCTACATTCCCCTACCCCTTCTCTCCCCTCTCCACCTCCTTTGACAGTTTTTTAAAATGTTCGTTCTAGTTCCCCACCCCCTAATTAAGCAAAACCATAAGGCGAGATAAAAATCAATCAAGGATCTGGGGATCTGCTTAGTGGGAGCGATTTGGCCCTTTAAAAAAAATGCAGAGAAATGGACAGCATCATAAAAAGACTCAGCTTACGCTCGGATCAGCTATAGCTATAATTTTGAGTGATCTTTCTCTGGAGATGTTCAAAGGCCTATCCCCAGCTAATGACACCATTAAGAACCTAAGACTGGGGGCGGGAGGAGTTCGGGGAAGAGATAAAGTTCTCATTTCCATTCTGGTATCATATTGGGGGAAAAAAAATAATCTCCAAGGACCCAAAATCAATCATACTCAAAGAAGACATTTTCAAAGAAAAAAAAAAGCACTGTGTAAAAGTATCGAAACAAGGAAAACTTCCCCCACCTCCTTTTTTTTTTCCACTTGGCTCTTAGGGCTACAGTGGATACGATGACCTTATTCATCTACCCCTGAACAGAAGAAAAGTGAAGCATCAACCCAAAATGGCAAAGATCAGACTTCAGCCATTTGATCTGGTTTAGGAAGGAGAGATGCTAACGCTTACTGAAGTTAATCGTTGTATATCTGGGGGTGTCTGCATACTTCTATACATATGCTAACGGTTTAAAACGCATAACAATCTCGTTTTTTTAAAAAAAAATTTCAAAACTCTGTGTTAATAAGAAACCAAAGAATGATTTTTTATAGTTATTCTATAGACTTTTTATTCTAGACAAATAATAGGACAAAACGGGTTTGCAGAGTTGGGGGAAAGAGTGAGGCTTTCTGTGTCCCCAAGAGGAGGCAGATTGGTGAGGCAAAGGAGATCTTTCTTCTCACTCTGATTCCGAGGGGATATCTCTGAGTTTGATCCTGTGGAGATTCTAGCTCCTTTACCGAGAAGGAGAACTCTTCAGTCCATTTCTCGCAGACTAAAATTAAATTATAAATCGAGGTCGCTAAAGTCCAGGGCATCTAGTTTACGTAGCTCCTTCCTCTCACTCTTTTCTCGCCTGGCCCAGGGCGCAAAAGGCAGAGATGAAATGTTGAGAGATGGAGCAAGGACTGGGCAATTTTACTTTCCCTGATGTGTGCGAGACCCGGGGGTCATCTGTGTTGTGGTGTGTGCGTGTGTGCATGTGCTTTCAAGAGCTCCCAAAGATACAGTATTCCAAATATTCTGCCCATATTAGAAGGAATGGGCAATCCCGTCCTAAAGGGAGTCGAATGCTAAACTGGGATGTCAAAGCCCCTGGCTTCCAGGTCCCCAGAGGAGGGGAGCCCAAGTTAGGCGCAGGCAATCCGGCTACTGGTCCAGAAGTCATCTGACCAAGTAGTGTTCTCGCAGAGACAGGAAGTTTGCTTTGTGTAGCCAAAGCGTCTAAAGTTCGTCGATCTGCTTTTCAAATCAAGTGCAAAGGTTTCTATCCCCTGATGAAAGAATCAACAAGTCAGCAAATCTTAAATTATATCCAATTTTCACTCAATCTCCTCCCCCCCCCTTCATTTTTCTTTCCCTTAGTATATCACGCCTTCCCCAAAGTGAACTATCGCTTCTTTCTTCCCACTTTAGGCCTTCGATCCTTTCTCTTCTGTATGACTCTAAGGAGGAGAGATTGGTAACTGCCACTCTCCTCTTCCCTCCCAAGCAGCCAGCAGTCGAAGTGGATACCTCATGCCTGTGGCCTTTTCTTCAGTCACCATTAAGCTTGTTGTTTCAGCCCAAGATTCTCCATTCTGACGAAAACCAGGATCTGGCTGGAATACAGGTTACTAATTGGAAAACGATTGCTCCTCCTGAGGGCTCTTGGATTGAGAACTGGGACTTTACTTAGGCAGCAATGCCCGAAACCTGTGTCTCTTAAAATGCGTTTGGAGTTAGATGTTGGCGGGTGGTGGTGGTGGCGGTGGTGGTGTGTGTGTGTTTAATGTCCCATTAATATTTTCCTAGACCTTCAGGTTTTCTAGTAACGGAATAAGGCTTTTTATTTTTTAATGCATTTTGCATCTATACTCTCTCAACAAGGAAAGTGATCTGAAGAATTGTAAGAAACATCTGGGGAATTAAATATATTCACATACACTTATCAAGCATTTATTAAGTACCTACAAGGAACAAGGCACTATGTTAGACGTCCGTCACCTGATAAACACTTCTAGTACTTGTACAGGTGAAAGTGGTTTTGGTCCGGAATTAAGAGGCTAATTGCCTCAATGACCTACTTCATTTAATGTGTATACATACAGATCACTTTGTTCTGGCTCTGGCAAGTGGTAAGCTGGAATTTCTCTGTTAATTGCACCAAACAAGTCTTCATCCCTCCAAACAACTTAAACTCTTATCTTTATGAACAACAGGAAGACTTGTCTCAAGATAATCACTCTCACCTCTTTCATAGATGCTATCAGCCAGTTCCTGGCATGGAAGAGAAGTAAAGTCACACTTCAAGCACAAAGAACATTTCTTATTCCCTCTTTCCAGTATGGAGCTCTCACTCTGCTTACTGATTGACTCAAGAGAATACTCATTTCTCCAACCATCTCTTTCTTCTTTAATTCTTTGTTTCAACTACGTTATGGGATTGGCCCCCAAAAGGATCGAGTCTTTGTCCCTTGGTGTAAATGCTTCTCTACCTTTCCCAGTACTAAAGGAATATTTATCCAGAAGGGAGGGCAACTGGAGGGATACCTGTGTACCATCCCATGACATAAAACCTGTTAAAATTCCAAAAGAGTGATTCAACACATAAGCCAAGACTCCTATATTAGAGTCCTTTAGTCCTGTAGATGGGATTTCACGGTTTCTAGTGGGAGTAGATAAAACACCCCTGATAATTACAAAGCTTTTCCAGGCCAGGTGTGCTTTTAATTGGATTAGTAAATGCTCTGTATTAAACCTAATCACAGGAACAGTGAATCTATAGTTATTAGCAGTAGACATAGGTATCTTAAATAGAAATGTCACCATTTCCTCCCTCTATCAGAAAGTCAATTACGATATATTCAGGTTTCTCCAAATAAGGAATGGATGGTAATGATGGTGAAGATGTAGACAATGGTGGGGAAAAGGAAGCTGCTGAAGAGGGTAAAGATACTATTACATCCTGGATTTGTTTCCAAAAGTAAAATTTATGATTCAGCTAGGTGAGTTGTGGAAAAGGTCTCTTAGGTAAGACAAGTTTCTTAACGAAAGAAAAGAGGGGAGAAAGGAAAGAAGGAAGGAAGGAAAAGACAAAGATCAGAATAAGAAAGT